TTTTCTTAGGAATCAATGTAATAAAACTCTCATTCACCCTACATCTAAACATCCAGTTGTTGGCTCCATAAGTTTTTGATGATAATGAAACATTTCCACTCATTTATGTCTAACTATACTACTTAAATGTGCAAGGTGAAAATGTATGTCAATAATAAATTAATCATTAAAAAGCAAATATCAAAACTCATAAGAATAAAGAGCTACAAATGAGCCACAATCAGATGCCTTTTAGTCAGATAACCAAGGGAGTTAGTTAGGGGAAGAGGAAAAAAAAACTATCTACTTGAAAACTAATAATAAAAGCTAAAATTTTGAATTTTGAAAAAGGGATATATGACCCTATTTAAAGAGGGAGAGTAATAACCTCTCTTAACTCCACACCCTCTCTTTATATTCTCTTTCATCTGAAACCCTTTTTTTTTCAAAACCAAAAACCTTCATCTCAAATTCTTCAAACTGTAAGTCTGAAACTACCAAGAACGATGACCAAATATTCAGTACCAAGTGATACTTTGGAAAAATAGAAAAGGAAACATTCCATGGAAGATAGTCTATCATACAAGGTTCAAAAGAAAAGAAAGAAGAATGAGCCAGTTTCAGTAACTAAAAAAGCAAGAAACAAAAAGAGAAAGCATCAAAATCAAAGAAGGAGATGGAAAAAGGAAAATCCAACAAAAAGGTAATTCTTCATCCTCAAAATTTAGGGATAAGATTCATGAGGAAAGATTTATGAAAATATAGAATGCACCCATCTCCTGTGGAAAATACATTGATTGGGATAGTTCTAGAGATTAAAGGAGATCTGTCAGAATATTTTGAAGAAATAAAATTGAAGAAATTAAGTGTTTTTGAAAATAGAACTTATAGTAATAGTCTTGTCAGAGAATTCTACTCTAGCATTACACTAGATAAAACTGAACTTGATGATCTAGAAGACTTTGTTAAGGATGGTATTAATGTATTTCTAAATGGGAAAGAATTTGTGGTTACTACCCCTGATCTGAGAAATTTGCTAAATATTGAGTGTGATGTGGGAACCTATGAAATTCCAAAAGAATATGATCCCTCATATCTATGGGAAGTTATCACTAGGAAAAGGAAAAATACTCTTTTAAAAGTTATGCAAGTTTTATCAAGAGTCCATAAACTAGGATCCTGCACTACGTTATTGCTTCAACAATTCATGGAAGAAGTGGTAGCTTTAGCTATGTAAGTCTTCAATATCTATGGATGATGGAGAATGCATTCAATAAAACTCCCTCAATTTTGAAAGATTTATGATTGAAAGAATGAAAAGAACCTATCGTGTTGATAAAGTTAATTTGCCTTATGAAAACCTAATCACTTCTCTGGTAAAGAAAAAGGGAATCCGGAACATCAGATATAAGATGGATCAAGTTAAAAGCAGAGATCAAGCCATCTATTTTGGAAATCTACTAAAAATGAGGTACAAACTTGAAACAGAAAAATTCACCAAAACTCCCAAAGACATCTCAAGGGATGAGTATCCCACCTCTGTTCAAACAAAGGCAACCCCCTCTCAAATCTCAAATGAGATGATTTTAAATTTATTGATGAGAATTGATGGCAACCTTACAGATCAGTTTAAGAGAGTTCAAAAAATTGAAGATAATTTGCAAAAGTTGGCAACTTTTATAAAAGAAAAAGGAAAATCACCATTTGGTCCTACAACTGAAGGTACCTCAACAACCCCAAGTCCAGCATCAGTAGGACAAACTGTTGAGAATCCTGCTTCTTAAACTAAAGGTAATGAACTTAAACTTACTCCAGCAAGAAAACAACCTACTCTTGAACCTAAAATTGAAAGAGAATACAATGATGATACAAAAGTGATTAAATCTCTTAATGACAATTGTAATCTTCAACAACATGATGAAGCATAGAAAATAAAGCCATCTCCAACAAATTTTGAAGAAGTATTGATTATGGATGTGTTTCATCAGACGATAAAGGAAAAGCAAGCAAAACAAGAAGCAGCAAGAAGTAGAACACAGAAACAACACCTGCAAGAACTTTCTCTGAATCAGTTCACACCACAAGTAGGAGTGAACCTACTGACAAAGTGAAAGGAAAAGCAACTGCATCTACACAAGATAGAGCCAAACCTACTAGAAAATGCAAAAATACAATAGCAACAAACACTAGGTTTCTCAAAAGGAGAATGTCTTCAGGTTGGTTGACAAAGCTAAATCCTTAGTTAAATCCTCTAGCCAAAATCCTTTCTAGATCTCAGATACTCCTTCCCCTAATTCCTCACCCCAAAAATCATCACCTTTGTCATCTCTTAGACCCCTCAATGTGCTCTTTGAGATTGATGAATCCACCCTCTCTGACTTTTCTTGAACTAGTAGACCATCTTTGTTTTGCTGATGACAAAAAAAGGGAGAAAGTTGAAGTAACAATATAGTAATTTATGAATTGATTCTAATGATGCGTAGTTATTTATGACATTTTGCTATTTTAACTTCTGATGGTTAGTGTTTGGATGCTGATAACTTACGCTTTGATATGATACTTTGTTATTTTTGTTGGCTTTGTTGGCATGTTAATGACATTTGATTTTAGAATGGATATTGTTTGTTGATGATGATACGTTGGTGATAGTTGGTTACAATATTGGTAATATCTTGTCATTTATTATTGATTGTTCTGCAAGCTTATATGAATATATTCTATTAAATGTCTGAATCAATACCTGTTATTTTCATTAAGAAATAGATAAAAATTAGCTAGCCTACTAAGTTGGATAACAAAATAACTTGAAAAGATCATGTATACATTAAGGGGTAGCACATACTTAGGGGTAGAAATTTCGTATCTTCTGCAATACAAAAGGAACAAATAGACATTGTGCTATTAATCAATGAATGTTTTGTCATCATCAAAAAGGGAGAGATTGTTAGCTCCATAAGTTTTTTATGATAATAAAACATTCACGCTCATTTATGTCTAACTATACTACTTGAGTGTGCAGGATGAAAATGTATGTCATTAATAAATTAATCACTAAAAAGTAAATATCAAAACTCATAAGAATAAAGAGTTACAAATAAGCCACAAATAGAAGCCTCTTAGTCGGATAACCAAAAGAGTTAGTCAGCTAAAACTCAAAAGTGAAATTGACTACTTCAAAGATAGTAAGTTCTTAATCGGTTAAAATCTTACTTAACCGATTAACGAAGTAAAGCAGATTGTGAGATAGAGAAGACTTGAAGTATGGTTAACCAACTAAAAGCTCATAGTCAAAAATTTGATTGCAAAACAAAAAAGGCTTAATCGATTAAGAAGTATTGTTAGTCAGCTAAGAGCTCACTGTTAGAGAATTCAATTACAAGACAAAGAGGACTTAATTGACCAAAAAGCATGGTTAGTCAATTAAGAGCACACTATCTGAAATTTTGAATTTGAACGCTTGAAGACAAACTAATGGCTAGAATTGACTTTAAATTATTTTCAACGGTCTAAAGCTGTCAACATCCATTAAAGTTGAATTTTCAAGTATAAAAGACAGCCCAACGGCTAAGAAGAAGATTAGATGGTTTCAAGATTAAAAAAAAAAAAGAGCTCAAAAATAGTAAAGACTCTCCCAACTCTTCTTGCTTTGCACTTCAATCTTTGTAATAGAGTTTAGCACTTTATCTTGTACCATTCAGATTAAGTTAGTGATCATAGATACTTATTTATATCTGTAATACTTGATTACTTAGTGTAATACTTGATTACTTAGTGTGTGCGAGTCACTCTAAGGGGATTAATCAAGCTTGGATTAACTTGATTGGTATTATAGTTTCTAACTCAGCTTAGGAAAAGTTACATTTAGGTTTTGGTTGATCTCGGGAAAAATTATTGTTAAAGGTTGTGGCTAAGTTTATGAAAAGCCATTGTAAAAGCTTGGTAGAAGCTTGAAAATTTCACTGATTATTGTGATTTGGTTTGAGAATTCTTGATTGGAAGATCAAGGTAATAGATGTAGGTCAAAGAGATCGAACCACTATAAATCTTTGTGCATTGTCTACCTTCTTTTATTTTTCATTTCATTCTTCTTTAAATCATTCCTTTATCTGGCATTTAACTTTTTATCATTAATCTTTAATTAGCCCTAAATTAAAATCAAGTTTAGTGACATTCACAAAGTGCTATTCACCCCCCTAGCACACTTCTTTGAGATCAACACCAGTATTATAGAAATTTTGAATAAAAAAATACTTAGTATGATTTTTATCTTTTGAAAAATATTTAAATATATAAAAATATCATATTAAATGTTATATTAAAAAAATAATCTACTTTGAAGTTAAACAAAAAGTTAGTACCTTAAATATCTGTTAATAAAATTTGACGATGGCAAATAGGTGTACCGCAGCCGTGCATTTATAAAGAAAGGGACAAAGTCATACATATTGTGGCAGCTGGTGGTAGCTGGACACGACAGCCTGGGAAAATCTGTGGCTCAAACTTAGACACGAATTTCAAATCAATTTAATTTCCTTTCTAATTTGACCAAAACTTCTTCAACATAAGAAACTAGTACAAGTTATTGTATAAATGTGGTCGCAAAAAATGGTTTTTAGCTAAATAGAGAGAAAAGAATTTTAGTTTCACTAGTAGAATATCACAATCCAAATCAATTTACTTTCAAGGATCAAACCTTCTTCAATGTAAGATATTAGTACAGGTATCGCAAAACGAAAAAAAATTCAATTGCACCAGTGGAGAATCGGGATTGACCAAGTTTCTTCAATTTAAGATACTAGTACAAGGTATTGCCGGGAATTGGACAGGATTATATGGTGGCAAGGTTTTATTCTACCACTAGTCCGTTGATGCCCCATTTGTGAGGTTTGCGCTATTTCTATATTTTTTTTACATCAAAATTTAAGCTAATTAAATTAATTTAAAATTATATTATACATCTTAATAAGAATAATGTACCATAATCAAATACTTCATTCAATAATAAAAACATCTCTCTTTAAAAAATTGAAAAAAAAAAAGTGAATATTAGTATATTCCTTAATAAGCAAAACATTTTTGCTCTTCAAGATTATTAGTATTATCATCAAATGATCCAGACAAGATCCAAATTTTTGTCTTTCCCTTGAAATAAAAATAAAAATTATTTTATTAATGTACCTTCTAATGCCATAGTAGGAAGAAGAACGTAGGAATATTTTCCAAACTTTTGCATCTCCATAAATCAAGTAAAACATCCTATTAATCACTTTGGAATAGCCCTCGCTTTCAAGGTCTTGGCTCTAAGCTTTACAGCAAACTCTACTAGCATGTCTGCCTCAGGCATAACATCCTTCACGGCCACATGAGAGGAGAACCTATGAGCCCACTCGAGCAAGCAACGAGTCTTGGCTTCAGTGAGCAGCTTCATCTCACTAAACTTCTCTATGACTTTTAACCAAACCAAGAGAGACCCGAGTGCAATGTCCAGGTACCCGATTTGGTCCCCACCAAAGAAAGGTTTCCCTTGGCTCCACTTTCCAAATGCTTCCTCCAACAGCACCAGCCCTTCTTCCACTTGCGCTATTGCTGCCTTTTTAGAATGCTCCCATTCAGCAACCAACACTCCTCTCAAGGCAGGGAACCACTATACCACGGAAAAACAAGAAAAAAGAACCAACTATGAGAATCTTTTCAATCAAAAACGCCAAGGTGAGACATAATAAACTGTCGTCAACAACGGCAGGATCAATCGTATGAAGAAATACAAACCTTTTCGTCAATATAGGCAGCCCAAAATCGAGAATTGGCACGTTCATAAGGATCGGATCGGAATGGAAGGGCCCGAGGACCAGACCTCATCGATGTATTGGACAATGATGAGAGACTCACAGATGGGCTTGTCACCATGTAACAGAACTGGGACTTTCTTGAAAACAGGGTTTGATTTGAGGAGTAGCTCGCTTTTGGATTCTAATAGATTTTCCTCGGCATACTCGTAGTTTACAGATTTCAGGTGAAGGGCAATTCTTGGCCGCAGCACAAACGGGCTTGGCCATGAACCCAACACATTCACGTCACTCACTGCCATGTACTTTCC